GTTCTCTCCGTCCCATATCTTGCTTCAAATGTAAAATACGACAGGGAATCGGTCATCTAAGATAATATTCTTAACCCTAAAAGATCCAGGAGTCTTCAGATCGCCTCAAAGCTGGGGAGACTAATTCCAACCCCCACCCCAAAACACTTGGCTGTCCAATGGTGTATCTTTCTGAAACTTTGCATGCATGAACATTCAAAGTATTGCGTTCTTGTTGACGTTCTTGACCACACGCGTGGGAGCCCAAGTGCAGTTAGCACGCTCAATGAAAACACTATAAACTTTTAGCTGACCTGCCTCGGCAAAATCAGCTTTCCGAAAAAACATTATGTTCGATTTTCGCCAAATGTGTACCTAATGGCTTCCTAACAAAACTGAGAAAACTGGTGCTCTGCGCGTGAAAAAGTGCGCTGTGGCTATGCAGGAAAAAATACCGAGGTGGCAAATTCCAAACCTCCCCCCGGCTCTTTTAGGGCTAAAATCAAATAAAAACAGGCCGCCTCTCTATGTATAAAATGTGAGCAGTATACACCATGAACTGTCCATCTGAAAAGTCCACAGTCAAAGGCAAAATGCCATCTCGATGGTCCCAAACGTAGCATTTATTACACGTCATGTACTAACGACACACAAGGACTTTTCGCTCACAACCAACGGTTCTGCGTTTTATAACATTTAGCAAAAGCAAACCTTAGCCGACACTGGATTTCCAGCTGGGTACGAGTGCGACTCCGGATTGGTTATAAACACTCACAGATATAGGAACAGAGGAAAGCCATACCTTGGGGTCGCGGAGGACCAGGAAAACACCAATAAAGAACACGCTGGCAACGACCTTGAGGGCGCCTTGCATGCCATGGAAGGCGTAGCGAATGTTATCTCTGTCATAAACCAGACAGTTGCCTCTTGAATCACCTTCGTAAGCCCACAGGATACAGGCAAGGTTGATCAGAGCTCCAAAGTAGACTGGGGCTGGGAAGAAGCCTGCGAGGGAGGATTTAAAAATTTATTACAATGCATTGTTATTAACAAAACCTTCAAACTGCACCTTTGTGTCTTTATAAATCTCATGTGTCTGTTTTGTTTGTTTCACTTTTTTAATTAAAGGGTATTTTGAAGGCTTATGTTAAAGAGTATTGCTATTTTCAAGAGCAACGTATATCTTTTCGAGAACAAAACCTCAATGTTACATTGGTTTGTCTACAGAAACTGCTGGACTTCCTGAATACTTTGCTGGCCTGATTTTTTTTTCCCTTTGGTGATTCATTCTTGTGTAAGTACAGCAATAAGACAGCGAGCAAACCCTTCTTCAATGAGTAAATTTGGGGCTCTAAAAAAAGCTTTACAGGGCAACAGAAACAGAAAACATTTAGTTCGCCTGAAACTCGACATTTTCAGGCAAACTAAATGTTGTCTGTTTCTGTTGCCCTTTAAAGCTTTTTTTCCTGCATATTACCTTCACAGCTTAATCAAACTTTGTTCATAGAGAGACTACAGTCAACACGATGTAATATAATTCTGGTGAGCCGATAAAGTTAGGTCTAATAATGGAGTAGAGTTCGCCATTTTCTTCCAAATTTGTCCTATTTGCACACCGGGACAAAAACAACCGTCCAGATGGATAACTCAAAGTTGAAGACAAACGTTAGAGATGGAGGTTCCCCAATTTAGTTTTAAACAGTGGGACGTGCGTTATCGTTAGAATGGGTCATTAATGCCGCGTTAAAGCAGGATGGTGATGGATAGCTGCTTCATTGGGTCCCAGAAGGTTTACTATTTACATACGTCCACTTAACCAAGATGGCGAACAAATGAAATGAATCCAAACGACTGATAATGTCTGTCTATGCTGTATTATATTTGCCTCTGTTGAATTTACTGCAATTGGAACTCGACATATTATTACTCAAGTTAGCTTCCTTCCTCACCTAAAAGATTCAGGAAGACCGACTGAAAACCAAGTGCTGCCGATCGCATGTCCTCTTCAACAATCCTATAAACATAAGAATAAGTTTGTTCAAGTGAGGTGATGCAATGAAATGATGACATGTAGTCCACAATCACCGATTTCAAAAAACGACAGTCATCATCGTATTATCATTGATAATCAATGTCATGCAGTTAAATGAGCGATTCATGTTAACGCATGCACGGCTTAGAATGTAGCAAAGCTTCCTGTCCCATCGTGAAAACGTAAATCTTCAGATCTTCTACTTCCACGCCCTTCCCTCCTGGGCTTTTCTTTTCGAAGGGCAGTCATGTTTACATCCCTTCACGAAAACGCAAAATATAGTTTTGGAAATATGTACCCCTTACACCATTAATAAGACTTTAATGAAGGTTTACCCATGGAAATATGTCAAAATAGTTGAGAAAGAACTTTTCAAGAAAAATCATCCAACATCCAATGTGGCAGTTCCTCGCGTTTTTACCTTTCTCAAATCGGTCTCCTGCAGCCAATTTCACGAAACATGGCATACCTTCGCATCATGCGCAAATTTGTACCGTAGCTACACCTGCGTTCGAATTCACGAAAAGTTGCTCAGCTGCGCTGCGTTTAATTATATCAAACTTCTTGGACGAGAACAATAGCGTCTTCTGAGACGGCTCCTTCTTTTCTTTAATACGCTTATAATAAAACAGTCATTAAATCAACCCCGCCCGCCTTTTTGAAATTTGTTTTAATTAATAGTCTTTTCTTCGCGGGAACCGGTAAGAGAACCTCAAAGTTCTCTCACAACCACGCAGGGTTTCATGAGCTCCAAAAATAAGTTTTAAACTTCTTGTTTAAACCTTGTAACGTTTAGTGATGATGAGCATTAACTGAACAGGATTGGTCAGTAAAACCGTTCATATCCGTTTTATTTAGCGCAACTTGCACCCTAAACCGATGGCGTAAGTTACGCCCTACAAATTGTAGCGCAAGTCGTGGACAAACGCAGTGAGTACTTTCGTGAAAATGTATCATGATTTGTTGTGCAAAGTTTCATGAAATTGGCTGCTCTTTCCGTTGCAATTATGCACCGGGATTTTCATTCCGTTTTACATCTAGAATACAGGGTTTCACTCAACATGAAGAAACAGACATACCTCAAGGTGATGAGCACCAACCCGCTCTGCCCCAAACCGCCGCAGAATGTTATTATGATGCTGACGATGATCAACACAGGGATATGCCATGACTGGCAGTCTGCCGAACACTCCCCGTCCGTGGCGTTGGCATAGCCAGTCACGGGGTTGATGCATCGGCAGTCATCAAAGCTCTGCGCAATAAGGAAAACAATGTCGTGGGGACTTTATTAATCTCGTGAGATTCCCTGAGATCTGCTTTATACAGTTATTGCATGAGCATAAAATGTGATCCGCTCTGTGAAAATGAGTCAGAAGTCACATGACCAAAATGAGTATGTTTTGGTTTGTATTGGGAAGAACAAAGCGAGCTCTTTGTTTGATGAATCACTCACTTTGATATCCTATGAGCAGGGACATGTTGTGATTAACAGATACTATTTCTACTACTCTGCATTTTGCAAGAGGCCTTTCCATGCTTTTAACAACTCAGAAGTCTCCAGGAACTAGTGACTCGTTTTCACAGGGCGACCAGGGTCAATACAACCCTGGATTCCAAGTAGGCGTTGTGTTAACACCATTAATTATACGACATGAATTTTAACCCTGTTAAAGGCGGGCATTTTGTTCGCAAGAACCTCCCACCCTCGGGATAAATTTTCACGGAGACACTGGCTACACTCAGACACGGGACTGTATTGTGGGTTATTATTTTAGGGTATTCTGGAAAGGGGATGATAAAAGACATTGAGGTATCTAAATATAACTAGGCTATACGCCGTGCTACTGTCTTCCGAACTCAATTCAATTTTTTTACAAATTCGACTCAGTTAGCAATAGTACGCCGTTTAGAGCAATTCGGCTTGGCAGAATGAATTCGGCACGGCAAGCCCTTATAGCTAGACCATGGAGCTTCTATGGCTAGACAGGGTATGCCGCACTATCGGTGTTCCAAATAGACGTGGAACGACACAGCTGCTTCATAAGTTCGGCGTTCAGCGCTACTGCTGCTCCGTTGCCATGCTATTGCGACACCCATTTGACTAAAGTTTGGCACGGCAGTGGCACGGCGTTTAGTCTTGGCCTAACACCGAAAATGAAAAAGAAATTGTCCTTGCTGTTAAAAGTTATACTTCACAAGCGTCAACCACGTGCACCTTCCCAATTTGTGCCCAATTTAGCGGTGTTGTCAATGGGCATGTTTGCAGGATGCTGGAACCTGTTTTTATTTCAGCAGTGAATGTTTCAAAGTGATTTTCAAAAGTGGTTGCCGTGATGGGTTCAAAGCCAGGGGAATCGATCCTTGATTTTAACCCTAAAAAAGCCAGGGCGCATTCCGCCCCTTGACATTTTTTCTGGTATCGCCGCAATGCGTTTTTATCAGGAGTAGAGCCTAAAGGTGTTTTTAGAGTAGCTTTTTTCAATCATTTTGACATCAATTTTGTGAAAATCGAACATACCGTCTTTGCACAGCTCACATTTTTCAGAGACGGATTAGCCACAAATGTATACTTTTTTCTACTGCGGCGCTCAACGCAAGCGGGCTGGCACACATGTAGCCCTGTACGTCTGGCTGAAATCAAACTTCTCATTTGTAATGATAAGGAGTGTTTATATAACCTTGCTAAGTTTCAAAAAATCGAGCGAGGCACAACCAAGTTTATTTTCTTTTTATTTTTGGGGTGGGGGGTTAGAATCCGCCCCCGGCTCCGAGAGGGGCCAAAATAACCTGGCTCTTTTAGGGTTAAATGGGGTCTAACAAGTGAGAAGGGTTGTTAAGAAACAATGTCTACAAAAATTCATTATTAAACATTGCTTAAGTCCAAGTGACTTTTCAATCCAAGTGGTTTCAAAATTACAGCGTCATCTGTTGTTTAAAGGTAGTTGGGACAGCTTACATAGATGGTCCTGTTGAATTCATCTGTCCCCTTGATCACAACCTCGCAGCCAGCGTAGCAGGGTGACACGTAAGTCAGGCCATCACTACCACAAACGGGATTGTAATCCTCATCCCCACACGTACAGTTGCTGTTACAGACAGACCTGGCCATCTGGACTGAGTCTAGGTGTGTCACAGGCCTTGCAAGAAAGATTGAAACGAATACCATTCGTTATTCATGAGTTGTTACCAAGAAACCACGGTTTCTCTGCTAGGGACATCCCTCGGTACTATGCCACTATGGGTTTTCCAGCCAATTTAAGAAAATGCGCTGTTTAATTTGTAGAATATGAAATTCAATTTGGCGTGGATTTTGAAAACGACTTAAAGCCTGATTTCATTTTCGCAATACGAGCATTCAACTTCGTTTTGCATCCTTCAAATAAATGAATGCGCATTGCTTTTCATTAAAGAGGTAAAGTGGTTGGGATTTCGATTTGATGTATTCGTTGCCAATAGTAACCAATGTGCAATATTATTCACCAAACATCTGTCTGTTACCGTAAACCTCGGTATTGAGTTTTCATTTTTATTTGATGTAATTCAAATTCAAAAAATATGCGCTCAATTTGATTTGAAATATGCAGGGTTACAGAAATCATGACACTACTTTGATAATGAATATAATGTTACTCATAAAGGGTTAAAGTGTGTTTGTTATTAAACTGTACACCAATTCAAGTCTATGATTTTTCTGTATCTTTCTGTTCAGCCATTGCAAGAACTTTTACGATTATGATAAAAAAAGCAGCAAGAGAAGGAAGGGTTACCTCAGCGTCGGTGTTTGTATAGGATTCTTAAAAAAATCGGTATGTTTCCAAAGACAACATGAATGGTCCATTTCATTCATGAATATTCAAAATTTAACCATTCAACTAAACACTCGCAAGAATTTAACTTCTGTTAACCCACAAACAATTTCGATTCTTGACCAGGCATACCTCAAGTAACACTTCGTGCGAAATCGCCAGCACGTTTTTCGAAATAGATTAAGTTCAAATTAAGATGAATGCAGGATTACAGAGGTGCATTTGATTTCAAGCAAAAATGAATGTCGACCCCGAACTGGTGCATTATCGGGAAATTGAACGCAGACCCCATACGCTGACTCCAGGATATCCTATCCTGTCAACATACAGTAAATATGCAAATGGTTGTTAACAGAGGGCACTCTAAATGTTATATAATAACTGTCAAGCTCACATTTCCGGCAATGGTGGAATCATGTTGTAAGGAGCTGGCGGTGCATACTCAGTCGAGACGCCAGCAATAGCTTGAGTCTGACAGCCCATCACCAGGAACGCCGGGACACCGAGGATGCTTACCACATCCCCGAAGAGAAGAAAGAGGGCGCACTTTGCCGGAGACCACTTTCGCCACTTGATGATGCAACCACCAACCAGGGAACCGATCAGGTTGAAAGGGAAGACGGCAACTGTCGGGGGGAAAAAAAGGTAAACTTCGGTTTGGGAAAGTGCATTGAACTTGTTTGATTTTACACAAATTATCCATGTCTGCTGTATGCATGCCTTGCTTAACAGATTTGTTTCCTAGAAGTCAGTGTAAAGCCTTTTTCATTTTTATCCTGTGAATTTAGCTGCATGGAATGGGACTCAGAGCGAGATTATGTCCTCCATTATGGGTCCTACAGGCAAGGACCATGTTCTGTAGGCTCTCTACAGCCTGAAAGTAAAAGGTCACGCAGCGAGCTTCCGGAACCCTCGCGCGTTGCGCCCATGGTGATTTTACACAGGGCCGTCCTATCATGGTCGATTATTTTGCGAAAAATGATTTCTAACTGAAACCAACCCAAGAAACACTTATGTCGGACTTTTCCCTTTCTCCGTGAGTAATATTCAGGAAACGTCACCTGGAGATAGGTAAAAAACGAATTTCATTACGACCGTTCACTTCCTGCAGTATCGTACCCAGGTCTTCTTGTTTATGCACGTTTGTTTTCATTCCCGTGTTCATGTGAAAACGAGATTAGACAACGTTGCAAAGATTTACCTTCCTGCAGTCGATGAGTTCTACATTCAATTGAGTGACCTGACGCAGGTCTAATCAGCAATCATTAGATTAATACATTGGAATCTTTTACAAATGCAGGTATTGTTTTAAGTTTCTTTCCCTATAAATATTACAAAAACCTTAAAATATTTTGGTCCTATTTTATTTGGGCTTTTACCGAAAGGCTACCATGAAGTATATATTTCCGTAACTGTTCATTTGCGTGCGAGACCACAGCATTGAACTGTTCCTTATGTATTCTTTAGATTTTCGGAAATGATAGGTAAACTTTGGCCAGGATATTTCTTTTTGGTCAGGTAATTTTTTTCATTCCCTATAAAATGATATGCTGACACTTTTTCACAAAAGGCCTTTTTTTACGAATTTAGTTTCTAGGAAGAACTGTTACAAATTCTAAAAATCTGCACGTTATTTTTCCTCTCTGACGGTTCTGGAAGCGGGCCACCAGGGGCCAACTTTCAGACCCTGTTCCATCTTATAGGCAGGCATATACACCAATCAATTTTGTTGTTTGTAAGACCTCTCTCACCAATGCCACACATGTTTACTTGTGTGCTTTCCTACGATCGTAAGTGGACCGTCAATTACTCCATAGGAAAGTGTACACGTAAATAAAGTGTCTTGTCATCACCACATAATAGGTTCTTTAACGCTGGATCTTAACAGCAAATAAACCTCGGAGTGGACTGACTCATGGAACGAAGAATCGATGTATGGTGAGGCTACGTGCATGAGTCTAGACTAGAGGTGGAGTGATACAAGGCAATGTTACTTTTCGCGGCCATACTGTACAGGGGAACCAGACTGTGCACTCACTTGCAAGCAGAGAAGACAAGGAAGCAGACACGGCAAACTCCACGTTGTAATACTTCAAAGCGAAGGCTCCCAATGCGGCGGCATTGGCACCCTCCATGGCAGATGAGATGCACAGAAGAAGCAGGCCAATATTCATTACAATCTTCAAATAGGTGAAGAACATACCTATACGAGACATCAAAATATTGCACCATTTGTAAAGTCACCATGGAAGTAATTTTTTACTAAGACTGGTCATCAGTGCAGGACTTTAAACAGAAGTAGATACGAATGGAAGCATGCAAAAGAGAAGTTTATAACGGGATCTGTACTTCTTAGCCGTACGTTTTCTTTGCTGCTTTCTGTAAAATATTCATGAATATTGCATTGCAGCCCAAACAACAGTGGTTATTTTTTATTTTTGTGGCCCTAGCAGACTGTCTCATGGGTATGCGCACGGGCGCATACCTTGTACACATGTTTTGATAGGAATATCTGGAGAGGATTTTTGTACAGACAAAAACGAGGAAAGATCTGGTTATATGACATCCTGTTGAAATCACAACCGACAAAGTAATTTGTTATGTAAGGGCATGGAGAAATGTGTTTTATTTCTCCATGGTAAGGGTGACTTCACTTTTGTTTTCAGTGAATTGCCCTCCATGTTCGGAAATAGACTCCGGCAGGAGAAAAAAGCGAGAAATATGAACACCACATTTGAGACAATTTATCAGGACAACTGGCTTCAAGAAAGCAAAAGTGAAGAGTCCAAAACAAAACAAAATATTCAAGGAATTAATCACAACCCACCCTTCACGGAAGAGAAGAACGTCTTGTGGATGGGGCCCTTCTCCTTGACGTTTGACTTTTCTTTGACCTCTTTCCCAGCCTCTCCGTTCACCTCGTCCTCGGGAAGTCGTTTCATTTGTATGCCGTTGTCTTCACTTGCCTCGAGCTCCTTTTCCTTTGTGACAAGATAATAACACTAAAAGAAATCAGTCCCTACTTGCGGAAGATTACAACAATAGGGCCTTTAATGGCTGGTTTGAGTAGTCAAATCCTGACCAGTTATCTCTGTTAACCAGTCTTATTTGAGATAACAAGTTTAGCTCCTGTCATAAGACACTCTTCACTTAGCCTACATGGAGGAATGATTCGCAACGAAATAACCTGCTGTCGTGATACAAGTGTCCTGCTCACTAGCACAGACTGCATGCATTGGTGTACCATTGTAAGCATAACTCGCACACCTCTTGGCAATTTCTGCCTGAAATATTTGTCGAGGACATTTATTATTTTGCCCTCCAACTTAGTACCATCGTTTTTAACTATAGAATTTAATCCGTCCAGGAAAATCTTCTGCTGGCATAATGCTCTTCTATTGAAATTATCTTAACTCCCATTCAAGCAACCCCCAAATTAATTCTTTATGACCCCAATGTTTCAGCCAGCCTCAGGTAGGCTAACCGGTTTGAGAACAATTGAAACTTTGACCTGATCAAATAGCCAACCCTCTAAGATCTTCTAGCAACCACAGACAGCTTCAAGACCAGTAACTGCAATTCGCCCCAATGCTTGGCTGGTACCTGAAATAAGTTCCACCATTTCATCATCAGAAGCTGACGAAACAAAAGACTCATCATTCGCCTTTTCAAAGCAAGGTGGGAGCAATATGAGGGCGCTATTTGAAATGAGTAAATTTGGAGTAAACAGAACAGATTTTACTAAAACCAAACAGCGCTCTGCTATTATGTTTGACGTACCTCAAATAGGCAAATAGGAACAATCGATGTTCAACGGTCAACTTCTTTCTTAAAATGTTCACCTCTGACACCTTCGTGCATCGTTGCTAACATGCGGGCCATCATCGGTGCAAAATCACAGACAAGGGTTCATTCGGAAACTTTGCCATACGAAACGACTTTAAGAATTCTGGCGGAAGTGTGCTCATCCATACCTCTCTGGGGCCAAAATAACGCCGGTCAACATTTCCCCATACGCTTTATCAAAAGCGCACAAAGTCTGAAATCAGGACCGCCTAGCACTGATGATGAAGATGGGGAGAAATGTAACTTAAATGCTAAGCATCAAACATCTTTTGCTCACCAGAAGTTAGCTGCTTATCATCTAGCTTCTGGCGGGCGCTGTTTTATTCTACAATTTCCTCCGTTCCCACGTAATCTACCGTAAACTATTATATCCACAATACCTTGCGACACCTGTGCTTCCTTTACCAAATGTTGTAAAAGATATGAGAACAAATCCAAACAGGACAAAGGACAGGGGTCCTAACCTACCTTGGCCTCTTTCTCCTCCTTCTGTCTCTCCTTGGATTTGGGGAGCATCCGTGGGAAGAAGAAGAAAGGCACACCGATGAGCGTGACTGCGACACCGAGGCAAGCGAAGCCTAGCCACCAGGCACCAATGAAGCGCGGGTCATTCTGGTCGACTGGCGGTCTGTCCTCCTGGGCCACTCGGTCGAAGTCCACGAAGAGGGAAAGCGCGGCCGAGCCAAGCCCGAAACCGAGGAGGGGTCCAATGGATACGGCGATGAAAAGAAAGGCTACGTACCAGCAAGCAGAGGAAATCAGAACAATTGAATTGAGGTGTGCATGTGGTCTAAATATATGAGATGATACATGAGATAATTGGACCAAACGTGGACCTGGATCAAGATTTAATCTGTGAAAGCAGACACCTGTCTCTAACCAGCATGTTGTGTTGTGTAATGTAAAGAAGAGGGACGAAAAACCCAGAGGAATATTCCGGGTGTAGCCCACGGACTGAAAACCCAATCCACATGTGGTCTAAGTCGAGAATCTTCTAACTCAGGGATGGAACCACTAAACCAACCTGACTAGGTTTCGTGATGATGTCGTTTGAGTCCTGTGTTTTCTGGATAATGAAACCTGCGGTTCTCAAACCGCACGTACACTTTGCTATTAACATTATTTCTGACCGACGACGTTCGAAATTGAGACAAAACTAGGTAGTGCAATATGTCTCAGAAAAAAAAAATTACCAATGTAGATGGGCGTTGTGTGTTTGCCGACGGCGTCGTCAATGTACGTGGTCCCGAGGGGTTTCATCGGTACGTTACCAATGCCCAGCAGTATCTGACCGATGATCAGCCACGACACTGGGTTGAAGCCAGGCTGTTCGTACTCAACGTTGCAAGGATCAATCTTGTCCTTGGCGTCCGCCGAGCAATAGTCCACGAACGGTTCCGTTTCGTTGCAGCCCAGTGGGACCCTGGTGTAGGGATCCAGCATGAAGTGCGGCACGGAGCAGAGAAAGATGCCCAGCCCAGACAACAGAATGCCCACGCCTATGATGCGTGGGCGATGACCCTTGTGGCCAAAGTAAGCCACAAAAATAACTAGGGCCATGTCCAAGGCGTCATTGAGGATAATGATGGCACCGGATTCAGTGCTGGTAAAGTAAAAACCAAAAACAGATTGGCCAAAATCATGAATCTTTCGAGCGCCGCATTACAAGCCGGTTCATACTTTATACAAATGCGAGAAAAAAATTCGAAGCCAACGCGAATTAGCCCGGCTTTACTAAATATCCGCGGAGAATTGAAATGTGTTCTATTTTACGAAATCGAAGCGCAAAAACATTTAATCTGACGTCACAAAATTGAGGTATGTGCGCTTTTTGTGCCAAGTATGAACCGGCCTTGTCAGGAATCCATTGGATCACCCCTGGCTTACCATTCAAACCTGTCAACATCACATGGTTAAAAAATTATGAGGTCTGTGCAAGAAAAAAGGAAATAGGCCTATCGATGTACACATTCTTGATAATAACAGTGAATCGTTATCAAATTAGTTCGAACATCACTCCCATTCTTGGAAAACCATGGCGCCACTTATTTATGTGGTGCATAGTAATTATTGTTCATTACATATGCATTATGCAGCCCTATTTAGGCCGTTGTCCTATACTAGGGTATTCTTAAACAGAATCTGCATCCCTAAAACTTTGTTGATCTCTTGCGAGTTAGTGTTCAAGATTGTGCTGTCGTATTTTGTACCTGGACAGCTTGAACTGCTTCTCGATGGTGGAGACAACAGAGCCCAGGTAAACGGTAGCGGAGGTCTTAATCAGAAGATACATCATTGACCACAGTGCGAATGCCTTGGGCCCACCGGCCAGCCACTGCAGGCGGCGTGGTCGGCAGGGACCCACACCACAAACCAGCTCAGTCTCCCCGCCAGGCTCGCTGCTGGATGTCACGTCCACGATCGCGTCGTCGTCGGCGGCAGCTGTGTTGTCCTTGAGGGGTGCACGTGAGTCTTGCCGGTCGATGTCGGGGTCGGACATTTTGCCTTCCTCGTAGTCCGGTATCTCTTTGACTTCTTCTCCTTCGAGCACGTCGACCTATAATCAAATTCAAATGAACGAGACAAAGTCCCAAAACAAATTTCTCAAAGATAATAAGGAATGGATTTAGTTGTTAAGAACCATTTCTCCTGTCAGAAGGTGAATCGTGTACGGAAAAACATCATGAAGTGTATTATTATGTAAGTTTTTCTTACACCTTTTGAAAGTTGCACAAGTTAGGCACGCGGTTCACTTTGTTGAACAAAACACTGATAAGATTGATGGAATGGCTACTCTGTAATATTTCCAAAGATTGAACCTATGGACTAGAAGGTTTAGAGTAACAAATACACTCTTCTAGTGGAAACTCGAGTGAAATCCCAAGATGATAAAGTATAGAAAACTTTAATAGAATTCGTCTTGCAATTATCATTTGAAGCCTGAGTGAATTCTCACTGTTTGGACTTCAGAGAATACATGTACATACAATTTATGACAAGATCTCGATTGTTATTATTTCCAGTGCACACTTTGCATCAATCTATGGCTTGGAAAGAAGCGATGTGAGATGACATGACCTCGGCTCCTATGCTGAAGCCACTATCTAATTAGTTGTTACCCATTTTGACACCAGACGTGTCCTTGATGAATTTTGTTTGATACTGTACATGAAACATGCATTTAGAGTCTACGTGGATATCGAGTCTTAGTCATGAAATAAAAGCTCCCTGTCCTTTCAAAATGTCAGTCGTGTTCTTGTATAAGAAATGAATATTTCAAATTATTATCCCGTTTAAACCTAAAGCATCGCTGAAGGATTGGTTTCCTGTGCATAGCTTAAAAAAACCAATCGGCGCGCAGTGCGGTCTTTACGTCATCGAGTTGTCTCCTATTGCTCATCACCCTGTTTCATATTTTTCTGACGGGACAATGATATTTTAGTGTGAACAGCAGATGATATCCATCACGGTGTGCTATTAGTTTAGTCTTATTCAGTTTTTGTTGTCTTTATACTGTATTTTAGACCTGGGTGAAGTTTAAAGTTTCTGTAACTAATAATTTACCGTGTGTATAGTACTGCTTGAAGACGTGCCATAACGACCTACCCTTCTTTGTCTATTTCGCTATCTGATTCGTTCTTGCTACAGTGCGGCCTGAGTCCCTGAAATACAGTCCCCGTAAATGTTCAATTGTTTTCCAATTGAGCAAAAATTTCATCTTTTTTTTAACTTTGCCACTTAAGGTTTTTTTTTGCTTCTGGGTTTTAATGTAATTGCTAAGTTTTTCTGTTTACATTTTTAAGTAAAAGTTTGACGTCCTTCCGGCAATCTCAGTGTTTTACAGTTATTTCACAATGAATTGACCAGCATTTGGGGTGTTGCGCTGTTAAATTCTCTGTTCCTGGAAAATCACAAACAAGGGTGTTAGTTTTCCTTCATTTCGTAATAGGAGTAGAAAATTGCTCAAAAAAATTAATAAGAGCCCAAGTAAAGTTCTTGCCATAAGCACACTAGCATTACAATTCAGGTGCGGTATCATTTTGGCGTCGTTTAACCTCAATAATACACAAATGCAGCAGCACAGTTTGTTGTCAGCATTTCGTGATAAGTATTGGCAATATGATTCCCCGGAATCCATTATGAAGAAGGTTACATTCAGACAATAACGTCGTCTGTATTCAATACCCAGGCACTTATTTGTGTATTTTCTTTTTCTTTTCATACGATTGGGGAAAACAGCATGCACCGTTGACCGCGTTGCGCTTGCATGACGCCGGTAAAAAAAAACGGGTGCAGGCCCGGAGTTTTTCTGATAGTTATTCATTTATTAAAGTCGTGGCATGTCTACACGCTATATGTATACTTTACACACTGCGCGTAGGGGATATGCTGGTTTCCTATAACTGCAGATCATAGGGAGTTGAATGTAAGAGAGCAGCTCGGGGTGACGGTTGTGGAGTTTGGAAAGAGATAACTATGCAGAATCATTGTGTGCAATCATAGAGTCAGGGTCAAATATCCACAGTTTCATAAAATAACTTATCATGTCCTGTAAGTACCGCATCTAAATTACAGTAAGATTTTATTATGGGGAGGCTGCATCATCATCATCATTACCTGGGTTGTCATTAAAACTTTACCACCATGTAGGCCTAGACTGGAAAGTGCTTTTGCACAGGAGATGTTCAGCAACAAGATAGGGAATTAGATTCAGGTTCTATCACTCTACTTCAGCAAATATCTTTACCGACCAAAACAGCGCACTGTCAAGGGCAAAACAAGTCCTGAGGACAAGCTCTATTGAAGTTGGATAGAAGCAAGATCCTGACACCACGGCAACTCAAATATGTTTGGTAAACACCAGAAGTCACTGCTTTGGCAATGCATGGAGTCGGAACTGGGCACCTGTTTATCCAGCAGAATTTTGAAAGGCGTACGGTGTGCATAGGGGGAAAATAAATTTAAAAAGCACGTCAACGGAATGTCAGATGATCTCCAGAAAATGTCTTTTTTCACCCAAGACAGAATGACGCTGCATGCTGCGAGTTCTTACACCGGAACCGCACGGGATAACATTCTCACGGCAGAAGAATGACAGTCTACTGCAAACCAATGATCATCGATAACATGGGCATATACATGTACATGTAGCATGCAGGTAATAAATGTTATGTAGTTGGAGGGCCTTAAGAGGTTGGATGGCATTGATCGTTTGAATGCATTTGTTGTTAGATGCCGTTCTGCAATGGGTTCCTGTTACGGGTACCCGTTTTTTACTTCCACGTCCATGACTACCTGTAGATTATGTACAGCAATGTCACACTACCTTGAGCTGCATTTCGTGCATTGAATTTATGAGGTCAAATGTAAACATGTTTAGATATTTGAAGTGACTATTGTCAACTCTTGTATGAAAATCTCTTCGGTGTTAAACCCTGCTCTACAATCCCAGCAAACCTGTTGACAATAGACTGGGTTTTGGGTTGATAAGAACTGCTGGACAGCCAACATTATTTACAAGAGGTATGTTTGCAGTGACTGTGTGCGTACTGCTAACTTCATAGCTGTGCATGTGAACTTTGGTTGGCGGGTTACACGAACAACCCGGGGCAATTTTGTCACACATAACAAATTCCCAACACTATGATACAATTTGGGCCTGCACAAAGTTTACAGGGATTGCAAAATGTCACATTGTCCGTTTATGCGGAGTGACAGCGCACAATGCATGCACCCCTTACGGTGTGGAAGCAAGCGAAGTTTCTGCTCATATAATATCAAATCAGTGCTCTGAAATATGGCAATCACATATTTCAGAGAACTGATTTGATTGTCGTTATTCTGATCACGGTGCTACGCAGCCCTTCCATCTTTCTCTGAAGTTTCTATTCATGTTGCAAATTCTGGAGTGTATTTCCATGGCATTTCTGGTGATAGCCAGTTAAGCAGCACTTTTCTCCTACGGCACCCCCCCTCCCTAGCTATGCAGATGTTGGGTACGATCGGCCTTTTCGTGCCATCACTCGATCTTTGTGCGATCTGTCGAGTTTTCAAAATGTAGCCACTAGCCAAAGCTTCTTTTCTTTCTACCTGTAATTCGAAAGCAGCGGTAAAAGACTGCTGAGAGAAAGCCGGAGATTTTTGACAGGAACGACTTAAAACACTGCGTGATCGTGGTTTGTATTGATAAGCCGATCGCGCCAAACATGAACATCTAAACATGACCCCCATCTCTCTTAAAAGAGAGACGGAAAAAATAAACTCAGCGGAAAAATAACATCGAAAAATTGGTGTGGAAAGACAAAACTAAACACAAAATTTCCGCAAATAAAACACAGGGATATGACCAAATAGTGAATTTTCCGCTCACGACACTTCTGCCACGCCAAACAAACCCCCATCTTACAAAACTCCGCCGATTGCCTGGCTTTACATATCTGGAGCAAACGTTGTCTTTAACATCTTTTCCTCCTTCGACTTTCCATAAGGGTGGTTCCGCACCCTATTTAAAAAAGCAAACATTTTATACAGGTTCTGTGTCCAAGGCGTGATGAAAAACGTCAAACCATAGCCAGATTGATCCTCAAGAAACACGAGGCACACCTTGCCCTATTCAGTGGCCGCCGAATGAACCGTAAAAAGAAAGATATCGTTTATGATATAGCATCACATGAATGTTTATTGAATTTGAAAGTAGACCAGACCATTGATCAAAATTTTAGCAGTACCTGTCAACGAGTCCCACCCGAGTAAGCTTGTGAGGATTTTTTCGCAAGCATTCGGACAAGCACTGAGCATACAGTGCTTATTAATATACGTTGGGTACGGGCAAACCGTTATATATAATTAGCATCTTCTCAACGCAAAAAATACATCTTGAAAACCTATATCTCGTTGATTCAGCAAACCATACATTATTCTGAAGAATCGGCAGGGTGGGCATTTCAGCGGTATATTTTACACATGTACAAATGCTGTCCATGGGAGCCTTGTGGGTTGGATGGAATTGAATGAATTAGTTTTGAGTTTCCTTTTTACATTTTGTGATATAAACGGGTTTCCCTTCTCGGAAAGCCTTATTCCACTTCAACATGACACTCGGGCCGTTTTCCAATACTCAACTTGGGCTCCGTCTCAGGCTTCAACTGTTTTTTTAATTCCTGTCTTTGAGGCTGTAAACGCAATAGTAAGTCTCATAGTACCACAACACATTAAGTAAGATGCAAATGAGCCAAACATTACAGTATTTCAATTTAAGTTAAACGCTTCAGGCCCACAATCGAGGATTGGTTTCCTGGACGAAGCCCAAGACGGAGACGAAGTTGAGTATTGGAAAACGGCCTCGGTTTCTGTACTATTTTACACAGCACTAACCCCAGCATCCCCTCCACTGACTTATAAGTTGGCACAGCAGATATTTAGCTTAGAAAATTGACGTGTCTTTAGTTCCATTTTTATTTGGAAACGTTTTCGTGTCCACAAATCTCCCCAAATCTATTGGCTAAACGGACAGATCTTTGAGTTGCTAAGAACTGCTCGACAGTAGACATTGCCCAAGGGTTTAATAAAAAAGGCAAACAATGCACTGTCGACGTGTTTGCCGTAGTAAGGGTACTGTGAAGGCATATTGATTTTTCGGTTAGTGAGCTGGCGAGCAACCCTCGGCGATTGTGTTGCACACAACAAAACCCCAACAATACAATACAAATCGTTTTCAGAATTGCGAATGTCAACGTGGTGCTTCGAGAACCTCCAAAGCGCCCTTATAAAGTGTTGAAGTACAAAAGGCTCATCACAACGGCAGCGCAGCACAGATATACCGTATAAAAGAATTCCATTGCCCGTAAGTCATGCTCACACGCTCTCCTTTTTGAAAAGTGCCTTTTGAAACAAACGCTCCCCATGCGCAACTGGTTTCAATAGACTGATGGCGCCCGCTAAGTCACGTGACCTATAGTAGGTAATAAATATCAACAAACACGGCATCCACCAAAGGCAAAGTGTTTCATAAGTATCATTTCCAAAAATAAAGCCGACGGTAGGTACCGTACTCAGCGCCGGGTACTACCGTATATCGGCAATATTGGTTGCACTCAAAACATAATGAAGCAAGATAGAGACGGGAGACCCCCCCCCCGCTTTGTGTTAGTCATTGTTTCACTGGAATCTGAGGAATTCCTTTTAGACATCTTGGGGGATGTGTTAGGTCACAATAGTCTAAAGTGTGTATACCGATTGGACATGTTGGGGGAGGGGTGTCCCTCGGTCTCATTTCTTGCTGGGTCAAAACACAACTCAAAACACACTTTGCGATGGGAGTGATACCCACTATAGGTTACATGATTCGGTGGATGTAACCGGTTTATTTGACCTAGTGAAAAGCACCTTCACGGTGTACATTTTAATTGCCGTGCAAGGCATTTTGGTGACTAGTATAGACGACCAATACACTGCCGGACCTCTCTCCTTCGACACCTCCCTTGATTACCGTGTAAAAATGTTGGGTGCAATCTTCCAATCTATGATTGCTGTGATTTTACACCTCCAAGTTCAATCCAACATTGTTTTCTGGGTTGTTTTGCTCAAAGCTAGAATTATCCATGTAAGTATAAAACGTGGTATATTCTCACCCTCTTTCGCCAACTGGCTACACCCAAGATTTAGTGGAAAGGTCTATAGTTTTATAAAAGATTTGTCGACGATAAAAAATAACCAAAATACCTGGCAAGATCAGAGTTTTTGCAATTAATGAGGGAGGGGGGTGACCGACAAACAAAGCATGAAATCTAATAAACTGCTGAAGCGATAACTGGTTTTGGATTAGGAGGACGCTAAAGCTAAAACATTTCTGAAGCTGTAGTGCATTACGCTCCAGCTACGGCAATGAAACCAAACACATGACGCCCGGCCTCCCGAGTTTCGTTACTACCCGCGGCTGGGTTGACATTGATACGATTTAACAACACTGTGTTTTATTGCCAACCGAGCATACCCTACTTCAAAGGCAAACACAAAAGGCCATAAAGATAAATGTATAAAGAAAGATTCCTTATAAACCACCTGCCCTTTAAGAAAAAGACACAAGTGGAATAAAATAAGTTAACATCTGGCGGCGGAAGAGTGGCAAAATCCCTCTTCCAAGCCTACTAAAACAATAAAAACCACATCACAGTGAAGTGAATAAACCTCATATCATGTATAACATGGTCAGAAAATTCGGAGTGATTGTTATGCAACTATGACACACCCAGGGTGCGTCATTCAACTCTGCCCTACACATGTCAATATGCAAATTACTCATTTCTTAAGTCATGTAATAATACTATTTTGAATTCAACATGACAGAAATGCTAACAGTATCAAAATATTCACGTGAAATGGGGTTTACATAAAGCACTTTATGCTACCCCAATGACACTTCCAAAAGTAATGGCAAAACCTCATTCACGAGGTCGTTGACCGACTGACCAAACCGTGTACTCTATAAATGCGTATTTTGATTAAATACACAGCGCATGCCTGTAAGAGTGCTATGTTTGTCACAGGGATTCTCTAAATCTCTTTTAATCAGCAAATATTTGTACATCTGGTATAACCTGTGTCAAGCTTGGCGTTCGATTATTCTTGTTCGGTTCATTCAAGTGCAATACTCATGAAACACCCGCCCTATAACGGTATGACGGACGAGTCTGATCGCAGGATGTCTTAACTGTTCAAAATGCAATATTCGCTGTTACTGTTTGTAAACAAATGTAAGTTTTGAATACTTGGCATGACTTTGTTGACAAAGTAAAGGCTAGTGGCTGTATGTTGTATTTTTTGTTTACTATATAGTGGTACCCTGTGTACTATCTCACTACGTTGATGTGTTGTGATTTACCTGTGGCTAGTGAGGAGATCACAATACATATACGTTCTCTCTAAAGTTCCTATACGCCTCTTTAGCGGGACTTTATCGTGGTCACGTTTGGGGGCGTGGCACCACTGTTATGTTGGATATCCAACGGTAACTTACCGGGTTGTCCTGTCCATGGTAGGTCCCTACGCTTATGTCAACGCCCGGTCTGCTGGGTACTTTGAACGGGTTATTCCCCATCCTGCCGGCACGTTGATCGAAACCACCAAGGTATCCTTTCCAAATACAAAACCTTCAGAATCGAACAAAAGTGTCCACGAAAAGCTAGGAACCAGCAACGAAACCGATCTTTACTCCAAGGAACTTTCGGAGCATGTGGGCCTTTTGATAAAGGCGTGTCTCCACTGCTGGAGCCTCTAGCACAAGACCGGCAAAACCGGTGCGCATGACTTGTTCAACCATACTAACGTGCATAAGGCAGATTTGGCCTTGCACAACTGCCTCTTTCAAAACGGTTGACAAAAGCTGCGTGAGGACGTCACCGTAGCGTTTGTTTACAATCAGGCTGTGTAGGCGTGTAGGGCCTTTGTCAAACTTCTCCAAAGTGGAACGAGACCTTGTCCAAGGGTCACAAGCTTTTATGATTCGCACTGTCCAAGCTGAAGGCCAGCATTAGCTTGACCCTCGCGATTTTTTGCACTTTACTAGTCTTGCCATATATTCGATAATAACACATCAACATATGCATGTGGTCATATATTGAAGAGTCACCCATTATCTGGGTAGTATTTCACGTATTCGAGCGTGACATGATCAGTGCTACCGCTTGCGTGCTTGACAGGTATACCCAATTACCCTTTAACAACAATCAGTGTCTGCGTAGGTGTAAAAGTATACAAGATACGTTTTCGAAAGCCCCACAAAGTATGCTCTTGCTATGTCAAAGCCGTATGTTTGCCAAGAAGTGGATGTTAAACCAATTGTTGGTCGTCATTCGTCTATGAGGTCCAATCTGGAGTACCACGTGACCACACAATTACCCCAAGTTAGCAACAACTCCAGAGTAGAGTTTGGTTAGTAAACGTGTGTCGTGTTTAAAACTTGCAAGTAGGGCCCATTTTCACGTACGAAAGATAAGTAAATCTGTGTCATATGGTACGAAGGTCACCACCTGTTCCGTGTCCAGTTGTCGTTATCGTTCCAAAAGCCCAGCACTGGGTGCTGGTTCTGTATTTTCCGACAATCTTTTCGCCATTTTACAGAGTTATAAAGGCTTTGTTACAACATAATGTTTCAACAACCGATAATAAATCACTGACAAATTGACCGATACTGTGTAGCCAACCGATCACAAATTAAACGAATGTGTATCGCCAACCGATCAAGATCCACAGAATGGGAAGGCCTATATTTTTCAACATTGATTCGTTTAACTTAAAGTGTGCCACAGTCGGTAGCAAGCACACGACGAACGCAAGAGCGACATTTTTACCAGCTTCCACGATGGACCACGAGTTTGCTCCGTCTGAAGTTGTGCGAATCCCCACTTTTCACCCACAATGCACTGAGGTAAACATTGCGTTACGTCATTATGCTAATAGTCAATTCTACACTCTCACTACCGGCTCCCTATTGCTGACCAGATTAAGTAAAAAATTCTTTTACTCATTTTTCATGCCCGTCATGGTTCTGCTCCAACATACAACATTGATTTATTTGCTCATTACCGACCATTGAGGCAATTGAGATCATCTCTTGCTTCCCTGCTTTAAATCTGTTGTTTTGAACAGGAGCTACCCGTTTAAGAGTTTAAATGTCTTTGTTGGGTTTAGTCACTCTTATCCACACACTTCGAATAGCGCCCTCCTATTCCTGTCCGCTGTGCATCAAAAAGGCTGATGGTACTCGCCGGCGGAGCACCATCGACAGTGAAACTAAACAGTGGCATTCGTGAGCCGTTTTAAATCCTCATACAAAAATGCGCTCCTTTCTCAATTAGGCTAATAAAGTAACAGCCCCTTTCCTTGACCACACTATGTTCGGTTTGTTGAGATTTTGAAAAATAAATAATTCCACGCATTTCTCACAAAGGTTTCCTATGAGATGTTTCTTCTCGGCCAAATCTGACAGTATTGAAACCCTTGACCATTTCAGACAAACGTTCACTGCAAGTCGATTGGAAATAAAATAGTGCTGAGGGAATGTCGTTGTTTTAGGAGGTACCAGCAAGTTTACACCGTGCATAAGTGACCGATTCAAACAAGGAAAAAAGGGGGGCATTTGTTTATATTGCCTCACTTGACCTGAAGCAGAGAAACTTCCAAAGTTCCAATCCGGTGTTTGTTCTTCGCTGTCAAGTGAAGCGGAAGTTGAGAGTGGGGTCTTTGATTTAATTAAACCCTAGAGAAATGTACAGTGGTTTCCACACTTCACTTGATGTGACATTGAGGTTTTCTTACTTGCCATAAAAAAGTATTCAAAATAACTTCTGCATTTTCTTGACACGAATGGCGTTACTATATTTGCTGTGGTTGCAGAACATTTGTAAATACGAGAGTCGCCAGACCACTTGAATAGGGGTAGGCTTAGGTCTCTTCGTGAAATTTGCGGACCATCAGCAAATGTTATGAGTGTATAATACACATACGTTCACCCACCGCTGCTAGTGCACCGCTGAGTTAATACACGGGTTTGTATGGGGTCGGGCATGACGGGCGAGTCGCGTTCTGGTCACGTCTCCTACGACTACGGCTTCGAATTTTGATCAAACGATGAAGAGCCATAGCCAGTGATCGATACTAGTGGATGTTGCCAATATAGTACACATAGCGTGTAATATAAACCGTTGAAAATATTGCTTACAGGAGTTTTCTGGATATATGCCCAACTTATATATTTACAAAGGACCTTAGTCATGATATAGGCCTACACGATAAAGCGAAAAGTGCTATTTTTTAAGTCAAGCCAGTATACCGATCCTTAATTTTTTAATTTATCATAGAGCAATTTTTATCGATACCATTTAACCCTACCGAATTTTATACTATTCGAATATTAACTCGACTTTCGGTTAGGTGATGACTTGCTGTAACAAATTTGGTTCACGCTGTGATTTTATTCTAAGTTCTTGAATCTGGCTTTTAAATATGCAGCAAGCTGATGAGCATCAGGATGGCTTTTAGTTCAGCGCTCGCTTCACCTTTATGTATTTCAAATTCTTGGGAAAACTCCGGATGCAAGAATGTCGTAATTCATTTTTCTGAGGAACAGAGGAAATCAACGAATTTCACTGCTCGAAAAAAAGACTACTTCTGCATTAGATGACTGAATAAAAAAAGAATTACATCAAACATCTCGTTTCCATCATACAAGCTATGCTGGCGTTCAGTTTTCGGCTCCGAATAAGAAGCGAAACTACGTTGAGGGAGGAAACCACGTACGTTTCAGAGGAAAATTATTAACTGCGCATGTCCCATTTTAGGGTCATTTGCATATGTAATGAGGGGCACGAGAATTCGTGTCGGGCAAGCTGCTGCTTCATTTCATGAAACCCACGTCATATTTTAACTTTTTAGAAATAAAATACCTGCCCCAAAAACATTTTTGTTGTAAGATAAGGCCTTTTCCTGACGTGTTTTGTGAAAATAAAATCGGGAAATAGTACCAGAATGGTCAAAACTAGTGCTTTTTGTGAAAAGCTCTTTACGTAAGCGATAGTTTGTTCACGTTTTGATGCGATATTTGAAGTCTCGAAACAAAGAATTCAAAGTTTTCCTAAAGTTTTCAAAAGTGAGCTGTGGTGGAGAAAGGAGTGAAGGTTTTAGATTTACTGACAGTTTTGCGCTAGAGTTTGTTTCCCTTCCCGACGAAAAACATTTGCATATCGATCGTACTCAGCACCGATTCCGTTTATCACGCAAAATCTAACGTCCTTGCAAGCTTTAGAATTCAATGACAGTGGGTGTACGCGTGTAATTATACCGTACACTGTACGCGGCTGGATCGGTTTTACGCATGTAAAACACGTAGATTGCAATGTAAAGAAGTGTCTATACGTAAGTCAAAAAAAACAAGCAAGATAAAACTTTTTGTATTGTGTAGTTGAAATTCTGGCCTGGCGTATGCAGTGTCTCGTTGTTCTGGGAAGGCTTCCAAAATTGAGAAATTTAGTGGAAAAAGATCGAGAGATCGATTGAACAGGGAAATAGTTTTTTTTATTTATCTTAGCAACCACTTTGAGGCTAAATTTCATATTTATGTAGCATTTCTTTTCACGATTCTGTGGTGTTTTATTTCGTGTATAATCCTTCTATAGAGCATACAAGGAGTTGCAATGTGATCACTTGTTAATTTTGTGCAAACGAAGTCTTCAAAACGAGAAGGCTCAACAGAGAAATTTGGAAGGGCTGCGTAGCATCGTGATCAGAATATCGACGAGAATACAATATCAAATCAGTGCTCTGAAATATTTGATTGCTGAGCTTTCGGTAACTGAGTACCTTCTTCTGTGTAACTGAATCTGCTTGCCCTGAAGAAGACACTCAGTTACCGAAAGCTCGGCAATCACATATTTTAGAGAACTGATTTGATATTATATTCTTGTCGATAAGGCTCAACAGAGGATTGGCAAGTTGCTAAGGATAATTCCATGGTTCACGCTGGTTTGGTCAAGTAACCGCTACGCACGGTCAAAGTCGTCAAACAAATACCTATGTGTTCATAAATTTAGACACGACACATTTTGGTGTTAATAACAAGACCAAACATACGTTTTTAGGGTGTGGTAACGCTTTCCGAAAACCTTGAGATGTCCAAAGAGGTGTTTAATTTGAAACTTTTACGTGGTTACAATTAACGCAAGACCCCTTTATAATGAGAGTTGGTTTCTACAGTGAAGATCCTCTTACTCCAAGAAAAACTTTGATTATTAAAGATTATTTTCTGTAGGTTACTCTGGTTGCGAGCCTTACTTTTTATTCTAATATTTATGTCATAATAGCCAAGGAAAGGTGTCAACTGTGACGTTATTACTCCAATTTCTTTGAAATTGTTAGCACCAGTGACATGTACTTCTTTCGAGTCACTACCAGGAATTAAAATTTTATCGTCAATAAAACTGAAATTTTACTCGAATGATGAGTAAAAACTGAACTGGTCGCTAAACAAGGTCGCACGTTCCTGGTGAGCATGTTGCTGGTCGTACAGGATCTGTCCGTGCATGGATCATGAGCGTGAACGCAAACGCAGAGGCGTCGTGAGGGAAGACGGGGTACAAAGATGGAATATAAAAGGGAAAAAACAAAAACATATAGGAAGAAATCACAAATTTTACTTGAAAATACCTTAAAATAGCCCCTATCAACTGTAAATGGTTTTTATAGGTTGCTGCTGATAAGTGCTTTGCCCCCCCCCCAAAAAAAAACCTGGTACGTCAAAGAACAAGCATGACGTCATCAGTACGGAGGCCTGTCTTAGAAATGGGAACACACTGAAGCGTGAAGTCCTACACGTATATTAAAGGGTAGAAAATCAATGATGAGAGCGCCATTTCCCCCATTCTACACGCCATTTTATGGAAGGTTCAAATACAA